ACTACTGTTAGTAGTACTACTGCTACTACTGCGACTAGTAGTAGTAGTAGTAGTAGTAGTAGTAATAGTAGTAGTAGTAGTAGTAGTAGTAGTAGTAGTAGTAGTAGTAGTAGTAGTAGTACTACTACTACTACTCCTCCTGCTGCTGCTGCTGCTGCTACTATTACTACCACTACTACTACTGCCACTGCCACTGCCACTGCCACTGCCACTGCTACTGCCACTGCTACTGCTACCGCTACTGCTACCGCTACTGCTACTGCTACTGTTACTGCTACTGCTGCTGCTCCTGCTGCTGCTACTAATACTGCTACTCCTGCTACTGCAACGCTACTGCTACTGATCCTCTGCTATATAATTCTACTTCTACTATTACCAACATTACCACTACACTTCACTTGGACTATGACTACTGCTGCTACTACTACTACTGCTACTACTACTACTACTACTACTACTACTACTACTACTCGTACCAACACCACCACCACCACCACGACGACGGCGACTTCTACTACCGCCACAACGACGACGACTACTACTACTCCTACTGCTACTACTACTCCTCCTACTACTACCACCACTACTGCCACTACTCCCACTGCTACTGCCACTTCCACTTCGACTGCTAGTACCACCCATATTTTCTGGACTGGGCTTGGGGAGATAAAGAATGTATTTGAGCTGGTTTGAAGAGCGTGACACCGACGCTTTCGGAACTGCACGCGTGGATGAAATGTTGCTACCACTCATTGATGAATTGCCGTTCCGGAGTTCGTTCGCACGCGAGCGCCAGCTTCCTCTGGATGCTCAGCACATAGAGCGTGCATGATCGTGTTTTGCGAGCATCTGCCCGAGTCACTTCGACGATGCATCCGGCAAAAGTCGGCTGTCTCGCCGCCGATTCCGATGAAGAGATGCCTAATTCATGGACAACCTCAGGTCCCCGGAGTAGAGGTCCAACCCGACAATTCGTAGCCCAAGAATCCCCAAGAACAAGACGCCGGAATCGGACATACTTCGTTCGAGCTCTTGTTTTTGGCCATGTCCACCAGCTTTCAAACCGCGTCTCGTCTTTGATCCGCATGGCATCATCCCATTCGTTGTTAAGGCGGCTTGTGATTCCATTGTCCAAGTATCGCAGATCACAAACCCTACCATTGGTCCAGCTGTCCAGCCTACCATCTTTGTCATTTCACCAATGCATCAATCTTCTCGCCATGACACTCCGGACGACTTTGACGAAGGCGTGTTTTCCCACAAGGATGTGGGCACTCCCAGCGTGAGTATGACCCCACAATCCGGCTGCACAGGCCGTTTCATTGCTCGACTTTCCTTTGACAGCCAGTGCAGTGAATACTGCGAGAAAAAATTGCGGGGCTTGGATACTGCGCATGCCGACGTCGTAGGCACGCATTGCAAGTTCGTGGCGCAAGATGTTTCTTCTTTGCTACTCATGTCTGGTGTTGTATTGCACAGGCTCATCGATGCCTGTGTGTATGTTGTAGATGGGCTTTTCTTCTTTGCTGCCGCAGTTGATTTAGACTTGACGATCGTAGGCAACTGGCCCGAAATGCAGGGATAAGGCAGACTTCCGAGGTTGCAAGAACTGAATCCCGAAAGATGGATCTCATCTCAGGCCACCCAGACCACTGTACAAATGGCATGCGACTCTGCCGAACACTTGGACACTTGGTTGGAGGCCGGCCTCCGTCTGGGAGGGTTTGCCGGACAGAAGGGCTTCAGCCCTTTCTAGGGGAAATGGGCGCGACGTTTGTTGGGCTTGCAATTTGAGAGTTAAGCAGGACACTGAAGCTCCCCTCCAAGCTACGTCTGCAATCAATGCCCGAACTGGCCAAGCCGTTCAGCACTTGCATGGCCAGTTTCGGTAGCTTGGATTTACACTTTTTCTGCGGGCTGTACAGACGACAGCAAGAAGCAGGAAGTGGAACATGTTGAGTCAGAGCGTGGGATGATTCCTCAGATGTTTCCTGACTGCTGCACCTAAGCCTCTGAGCGTAAACCGGAGATACTGCGGAGCACGACCCCATCGGCTCGTATCAGCAAATCCAAAACTGCTCCGTGACTGCAGTCGGAACACTGCACTCAGGCACTGCGATGTGTCCAGACAGGTGGAACGAATGCCCGACGAGGGGGCCAGGACACCTTGCGCTTCAGCCTTGACTATTGGCGGTGTGAGGGAGGACAAATAGCAGTGGCACATCGTGGTGTTGCGGGTACATACTGTAATTCGTAGAGGAAGAACAACAAGCCCGGATTGCTCTTCCTCTGTGCCTCGCTGCGTGTCCCTCTTCGTGTGTACCGCGGCCATCGGCCCCATCTGAGGGTGGACGTAAGTTCCGGCTTGGAAAACGGCACCTCGGCAGCTAAGCTTCACGGCACTGAGTGGGCTCTCGTGTGCCACCACATGTGCCCCAAAAGGTGTAGGCGTGGACCCAACGCGACTCTTCGACCTGTTCGCAGACGGGCCGCGTCCTCAGGGCACAGATGCGAGGTTGATGCCTGGCCATGAAGTACTTGTAGGAATGTGCGGCAGCCTGGAAAGTCGGGGTGTTTAAGCCTCCCTTCACCTTCGTGATGTTACCCCTGTGCTTCGAAGCTGGATGTCCTCCGAATAAGGGCGCCGAATGTGTCAGACAGCTTCGACAGTTGCCTTAATCCCTGACACGAAACAACCTAGACAAAAAGTGTGCGAATCATAATCAGGTCACCTACTGCAGAGTCGCATCTTGGTTGCAGAGAGAGCTAAGGGGGCCGAAGGCCAAGTAGAGCCTGGTCCTGTCTTTCCCCTCGGCCTTTGCCCCCTCGGCCCTCTCCCCCTCTCGGCCGGTCGACATAGATGTTTTCGTAGTGTTTTACTTTCCCAGCACCAGCTACAGAAGCCGTTTGTGTCGCGCTGTATTTTGCCTCATATGACAATGCTGCGAGCAAGCCTTGTTTGCGAGGAAGTCGCTCTCTTTTTCCGTAGTCGAAGCGGAAGATCCGGCGGCGAGCACGGACCGATGATGCATTGAGAATTGGAGGGTGGCCCAGGTCTTTCCAAATCCCAAGTTCTTTGGGAGACCGGCTCAGCACTATCTGCGCATTGATGCCGTGGTCATTCTGCATATTCCATGCAGGATCGGCTGCGGCGCCGGCTGATGTTCAGCGTGGGGGCGGTTAGTATCCGAGCTGCTTCAGTAGAGATGGGTTTGTACGGTTGTCTTTTTGTCATCGGCACGTGCTGCATTGATCACTTAGAAGTTAGACGTGTGCACGGCCGCTGGAGTGCAGTATCTTTGTCACGGCCGACGTTTTAGTCGTTGAGCCGCCTTTCGATTCTTCAGCAGCGAATCATCACTACCAGGCTCGTCCGACCAAGAGGCCAAAGAGGCGGAGTGGGTCAAACAGATTAGCTGCACTGGTTCACAGATAGCCGCTAAAGTTATTCAAGCTTGGAGATGGGTGGCACCGGATTCAGAATTTGTCAGGTTCATAGTCATGTCTTCTCAGTCTGGTGCGCAACAGCGCAGAGATTATCAACGCTCATGATCTTGCATGCGTGCATCATTCTGCATGATTTCGGCAGGCTGAGCCAGCAACGGTGGAAGTTATTCAAATCGACTCGGACTGTGAGGACCTGGGCTTTGGACGGAATTGGGCTGCCTTGTCATGGCAGACGCGACGCCTGTCGCCCGTCACTTCCTGACAAGTTCGGCAGGAGCAGGAGTACGATGAGGTCTGTGGTATGCCATGGGTCGGCAGCTTCTGCCAGCTTTCAGGCCGTGTCGGTCGGAGGATGCCGGCACACGGCAATTCTGAATTCTCCGCTTCAGGTGCTACCGAAGCCTTGGATCCTCCAGACGCGCTCTCGCAGCTGAGACATCTGGAGGCAGCAAATCCCTCCAGAATCCCCACCAGGGGCATGTATGGCATGTCACACAAGCAAAGTCAGCAGCATTCATGATTTTTTACGGCATTCTACAAGGGCGGCGTTCAGTTCGTCGAGAATCAGACTTGTCCGTCAAGCCCAACGATTGCTGTTACCCTGCGCTGAAACTTGCACAGAAACTGGGAGAATCGGGTCGGCTGGGAACAATGCATCTGCAGCGCATCAACTACAAAGAGTAATGAGTAATGCAGTAAAACCGTTAAAGCACTCCCGGCTGTGACGTCTGATGTCAGCACTGCTCCCGCTTATGCACACCGTTTCAGAAGCTTTTGGTGGTCAACAGTGCCCGTGCCTGGACGGAAGTCCCAGTAGTATAGAGGTCATCTGCAATCTGCAAGCCTTCGTCGCTTAGTGTGGATGTTGTCTTAGAGCGCAACCCGAAGCCAAATGCTGTCAGGTTGAGATGACAGGGGTGGTCGAGAAGTGGTCGAGAACGCTGGCTGCGACTGAGGTCATAGCATGGCTTGTCAGGAGACTTTGCAAGGAAGGCTCTCGCGCCTTTGGGTGGATTGCGGGTTCTACGCGGTTCCTGAGTGACGAAGTGCAGACTCGAGAGCAGCAAGTAGATCCCGCGTAGGCAGACTGCCGTGGATTACTCCGCTTCTTCGGTCTCGGCGCCTCTTCTGAAGCTGTGTGTGAAGCTGTCTGCGTGTGGAGATCGCTTGCCAAGGACGGTGATAAGCTGCAGATGTATTGACCCCTAAACCCAAAACAATGGATCCCTTCATTTCAGCCATTCATTTCCTTCCTATGCAGGCACCCAAAACCATTCATACTATGTATCTGATTGGTTTAATCCTTCGGGGCCTAGCCAATGACTAGGGTAAAGGAATGGTTCCGGCTTAATGGCTTCATGGTTCAATGCTTTAGGGATATTGGCCCCTACCCGTCATAGAGTGAAAATTGAGGGTTTGTAGGTTTGGTCGTCTCGGGCCCCATCTGCCATGGCTCCAAAATTGACATGTTTAGCGGTTGGTTACGGGTTTTGGGCTCCACCCATTCATACTAGAAAATGGTTGTTTAAGTGGTCTCGGGGCGCTGCCCATCATGCAGCGAAAATGCATGGTTTGATGGTTGTGGATGCTCTCCTCCAGTATTCCCGAATCATAGGGAGGACCTCTGTTTGGTCAGAGGGTTCAGGTTTCAGTTTTGGGCTAGGGCTCTCCTGCGTCGGGGCTTCGACTTCGAATTTCAGTAGAGACGTACGCCCAAATCTTCATGACTGCCTGATCTTGTTTGCGAATCTCGGGGTTTATACACCGTTGAATAAGCGTTGCACAAGATATTTGGGTTCAACCTGTTGTGCGCTAACACTGAAGCGAAAGTTCTGAGAGTTTAGCCGCTTCAGGAATAAGGGGCTGCAGTGATGATGAGATTTTGGTAATGATCAAAAGGAGTCGTCCTAGGTAGCAGGATTCGCCGGGCTTCTTGAGGATTATCACAGCATGTTTTACAGACACTGGACGTATTCCCGTGACTATATGTGCATATTCCCGGGACGATAGCACGGATCTGTCGGCCATGATACATGATGGTACGCTTGGATCGTCAATAGGGAGCTGCAAGAATAAGGATAGGTGCTTTCATGCTAGATAGCTAGGAGTCATAGTGCGCATTAGGACGTGGGTTCTACCAGAGCTACAGCAGATGTTATCAGGAGCATGCTGTGAGTGGACTGGTTTAAATTCTCCAGGACATTGGACTAGCGAGGTCCGAAGAACACCGTTCCATCACACATGGAAAGACGTTTCCCATGATTTGTTCTGAGACTTCGATGAGCTGTGTAACGAGGGCTCTCATGCATTGAAAAAAGAGCATGTACATTAGAATCGTGTAGAGACTTAAATAGCAGGAACCTGCCCGGCCCTTGTCCAGAAACATATGAAGTGTTTGTAACTAGCGTATTTGCAACTTTTCCGGTACAGTAATAATTACACTTGATGCAATCGCCTACATGCGCCAGGGATTCGATTGCAGGCTCTAGTGGGATTGTGGAACTGTAGTACATACCTCGGACTTGCTTGCATCGGGTTGAGTTTTGGTGTTTTGATGAGTACGATAATCCAGTCGTGCACGGTCCAGTCTTTTGTGACTCAGGGTGCATTCTGCCGAGGTGTTCCCGAGGAGAGCCAGCTTGCAGAGGCTGCAGCGCAACTTCTCCGCGCTCTTTGCACCTTCAGGAGCCAAGTGGGCCGCTTCGGCCGGGAAAGCAAAGGAAGCCATGGATGCTTAAAGCACACGCTCTTCGGGATGCAGAGCTTAGCGTCCTAGCAGTCGGGAGCAGCAGCCTGGTAGAGACGCTTTTGGTCGTTCCAAGCTCAAGTCCGAGACCACGTTTGGCATCTGCCTTTTGCATGATATTGAACTCCGGGGCGTCTAGGCGACGCTTGGAGCGAGCTCGAGCAGCACGCAATCGAAGAGGCAAGGAAGCGAGGCCAGATACTCGTAAGTGAGCTGCAGAGTAGTGCGGTCACATTGTTCCTGGCAGGTTGTCAAGGTTCCTGTCGTCAGCAGCAGTTTCAATGTGCGCATGAACTCGGCCTTAAACTGTTTACAATGATGACTGCGGAGGTCCCAGAAAGTCTGCGAAGCCTGCACGCCTGCGAGCTCGCACTCAGACCACAGCCACGGATACATCCGAGGCGAGAAGGGTGAACACTTCAGGCATGTGGCGAATCAACTCCAGGTTTTGTCGAGACAGTTTGTTGGATCACTGATTTACGTAGGTACCTAGCCAAGATCTGCATCTGCAAGGGTTCGTTGCCCGGTGATCCGCCTACTCTTCAGGGAAGGGCGTCGTTTTTGGGAGGACCTTTCGGGCGCTGAGCTTCACGAGAACGTACGAGAACCTTCCGATGATTTCCACGGTGTACGGTCTGCCTGTGTGTTGTGTCATCCAAAGATGACCTGTGGATACACACATGCAGCTCTTCAGCCGACCCAGCGTCTCCCTGCGCCTGAGGTTAACGTGACTAGGACACGGTCGGAATCCAACGAGACGCTGGATTCTGCTGCACGGTTCCGTGTCTATGGAGTCCATCGTTGGTTCATAACGGGATAAGTTGCGAGTTTGGGGCTGCAGGCATGGAGAGTAGTCGGATCTGTCCCTAATCATGATAAGCAGTGTCACGCTGCGTAAACCGGAAACAGGGCTTCAAGAACTGTGGCATTTGCTTTTGCACTGTGTGATTGCTGATCGTATTGATTTGCACAGCCGAGGTCCCGAACGAACTCGGCTGCAGAAGATGATGCGGCCGAGTCTTTCGTGAGTGTGCATAGCACGGCTTCCTAAGCGCTACCTCACAACAGCCTACTGTATCTGAGTGCACGTCAGTAGCCACAAGGGAAATCGGGCAGCACCAGAGGTGCTGACTTGCAACGGTGCCATTCTTTCATTTTAAGGCCAGCATGAGGCAGGCCAGCTCGAATGCCTTGTACATTAATTACCGTCATCTTGGCAAGACGAGGGCGGCGGCCGAACAAGCGCTTGGTCACAGCATATAATATACAGCATATCATAACACGAGACTCCTCATATTTCATGACATTAACAAAAGCCTGCATACGACGAGGTGGGCAAGCCAGGAAAATTTCAGGCGGACGACAGGGATGCTTGCAATTCGCTGCCGCCCTCGTGCTGAGGCCAAAGTTGCCTCCTGGTGCTTTGGCAAGCTGCAAATGCTGCAACAAGCGGCAGCGGCTCAGTAGCGCAGGTTGGCGGCCTTAGGACTCGAGATGCTGCCCCTGCGAACCCATTTTAAAGGCTGCTCTGATCCAGCAAATTTTACATCGGCATACCGTCGGGCCGGCTGCTTGGGCCGAAAACTCCTGCTGCCATTGCATAAGAAGCATCCAGGGCGTTTCTGTCCACGGCTTGCGGCAGTCTTGTCCGCAGGCACTTCGGCTTGTCAGGGTGTCTTGAGCTCTGAAGGACTTTTGTCACTAGGACTTTGCCACCGTGAGCACTTGGCGCCATGGCCACTAGATGGCCAGAGCCAGAGACGCAGGCACAGGAGCGCTGGGGCTTGGGATTTTGGAAGATTTTGGACTTGTCCCACGCTTCATAGCCTCAATGCTCAGGGATTGAAAGAGCAATACTTAAGAAAGAGCCAGCACGTGTTGTGCAGCACCTGGAAAACAGCCAAAACGGCCATCGCTCCAGTCGAACCACAACAGGAGCCTGTGCCCATGCGGCTGTTGGGGCGACGCAGCCGAGGCCACGCTTCTTCGGGGGCCAGCTTTGCACTGTGCAGCTCAGCTTTGTACTGTAACACTGTGGCCTCAGCCCTCAGTGGCTCTCTCCAGAAGTCCAATAAGACACCTGGAGTGATCCACTGGAGAAACTCATGCGTCGACATGCAGAGTTTCTTGGAGCCTTAGGCCTTAGGCCCTAGGGCCACGGCTGTGCCGTGCCGCAGGACAGGTGCTCCCGGACTCGTACAGAGGGCACCAACGACGAGTACGAAGTATGCCACGCAGCTCCTGCAATATGCCGCCAAGGAGCGATGTTCTTCTCTTGGAAAGGAATTCGGAATTGCGCAACATGCCGTATGTACGCATCCTGAGCTTCAAGCCTCTGATTGAAATTCTGGGTTGACACAGGTGGTGCTCCCACCTCCATATATTCCATTTTAGTGCAGCCACTGTGGTCCATCGTCGATTTTGGCCACCGAGTCGTGCAGCCCATTCCTGAGGTTGCAGGGCTCTTAATCTTCAAGCCCGAAACCAGCTCCCGCTTCCATTGCTGACTTCGCTCTTTAGGGTGCTTGTGAACACCAATGAAACGTGAAGACTCGAAGACTGCTTCGGCAGTAAAGCCTCAGGAGGATCCTGGAGAGGCTCTCAAGCTCCTCCAGGTGCTGGCGGCTTCGAAGCTCCAGGCCCGGAGCAGGAGAAAGCAAGGAGGGAGTTAGGAGGGCCATGGGCAGCCTGCCAGCGGTCGACTTGCTTCAGGAGTTGCACCTGGAGTCGTTTGTGAAAGCACAACCATTACTGTACCGAAAGTTCAGTAAGTAAGAATCAGGATCATCACGCAAGAATCTTGGAATCCTGAAGCGCGGAGGTCAGCAGCTTCCACTTTGGAGCACTCTTGGGGCCTTGCGAAAGGCCACCGAGGGCTTTCTACATCGAATCAGTGCTTGTCAAAGGTTAAGCTTCACGTGCTGCCTATGCTCCAAGCCAAACCAGCACAAAGGAGAGCACATACCATCTGGCCCATGACTTCAGGAAATCCTCCTGGGTGTTGGCTTCCTGCCTCCTGGCGAAGACCGCCTCGGCCGGTGTGGAGACGAACATTGCGCTTCGACAGAAAAGCCGAGCAGTGGGAGGTTTGACTGCATGGCTGCCATTGGAACACAGGAGCTCGCAGGCATTGGACGTGGAGCGCACGGCTTCGACGGCATTGGACCCAATCGGGCGGACTCACAACGTTTCAACAAGCATTCGGGGGTTGAAACGAGGGCCATGCTGTCGGGTGGGTGGAGTGCTGTCGGGTGGGTGTTGTCGCATCTGGGTGTGGAACGTGTCCTGTCAGCAATGGCAAATCACACGACATGCTCCTCAACGCACGTGGTCCATGGACGCCGTTCCAATGCGTACATGTCAGCATCCTGTCAATGCACCAAGGCTTGGACAAGACAGCAAAATCCTGGCCCAGTCTGGACTAACTTACCCGACTAGCACCAGGCGATTTCTATGGCAGATTTGGCATCTATTGGCAGTTGGTAGGCTTGACTCCTTTCTTGCCCTTTCCTTTGCTGGCGATTGCGCAATCCACTTAAGAGCAGTGCTAGGTGCATATAAGCTCCACCATCCATGAGGGCGGCGCATGCAACGAGATAAGAACACCAACACCGAGTTGGATCATTTCATATTGCTTTCGAGGACGACTGCTTTGAGGGCTTGGTAGCACGCTGGTTTGCTTTGCTTTCGACTTGCTGTCGGAATGACCGCACAGGGTGCATTTCCTTGCTGAGTTCGTTCGATGGTGGCAGATCAGATCCCAGGTAATGCAGAACGCTGTCCAGAGCTGCGTGGCCAAGAAGTCGCAGTGGTGGTCTGCATTGAGGCGTCGGAACGCCAGTGCGGGGTTGCTGTACTTTTTCCTTGTCATGTTGCTGCCACAGTATGTTTACGTGATCGGTGGTCCTATAACAGTTAATTCGTCATGAGCCAGATTACTTAGCAAGCTGCATAGTTGGTCGGTCTTCCAGCCTTCAGTATAGCAAGAGTCGTGTCAGAGTCTAGATCGATGGAAAGGCTTGGTAGCATTTCTGCAATCTACAATCCTGAAGTGCTTCAATGCACAGCTTGCCCTCACGCCTTCGTGTCATCGCATCAGTTTCCGAAAGATCTACAGAGAAGCCCTGGCATCCGCACGCCGAACCCTTGCCATTCTCGCAGGATTCTCCAGATGACTCTGCATCTCTCCCTGCAACTGGACCAGCTGAAATGCTGACTGCACTGTCGCTTTCGGGAAGTTGTGAGAATGACAGAGTAGAGTGTGCTGCATGGGTTCTCTGGCTGCTTCCTCTAATCTATCTTTCTTGTACTTGTCCGTGTATTACTGTATGGCCAGCCTGATAGTAGCTCTTACAATGCTTCTAGCTGCTACAGTTCAGCGCGCTGTGTGCTCTATGACTACGTATAGTCCTACAACAGTACTGTGTAGATGCTGTGGCAACATGCAGAGCATCTGCACAGAGTGACAACGGTATTCATCCCGAATACACTCCAGCTTGTGCACTTCATGTGGCCCCTCGTAGGACACAATTTCCTTCGACACAGCCATATCCTCGTGCAGATCATGCCAGCGTTGGAAGCAGGTGGCCTGTCAGCAGTGACGGCAGCCCAGCGACCGTACATTCCCCCAGGGCCCCAACCCCCAAGCCACAAAGCGAAGGCACTGAGCAAGCTTTACGATTCCGCAGACTTGTCAGTGCCGCCGTGCAGGCACTGGCAGTTGTCTCGTCGGCTCGCACGCAGTCAGCCTGCCCGCAGCATTGGCACTGGGATACCAGGCTTGGTCTTGCCCAAAGTGTCGTCTCTCAGGCTCTCGTCTCGGACTTCGGGCACAACTTTGCCATGACCGCCTCTGGCAAGGCGCTTCAGTGGCAAAGGGCCCTGGAGGCCGGGGCCCAGCGGAGCCGCCGGGCCCTCCCCTCCCCTCCCCGTAGCCTCACCTTCTCAGCTTTTCCGCTGGCTATCGCTGCAGGTACTCTGGACAATGACGGACCGTGAAGTGGAAGCAGGACTGCGCATCGTCTGGGAGGCTGTTGACTGCGTGCGAGGGAGGGGCAGTTTTCCCCTTCAGCCTTGCTCAAGGCACCCAAGGAGTGCAAGCCAGCGACGTTCCTCAGGAGTTTACAGCCTGAACGAGGCCATCAACGTGTCAAAGCCTCGGCAAAAGAGGTTCTGCACAGCCGGTCCGGGCCTGCCGCGAGAGCTCAGGTGCAAAGCCTCCTCTTGCTGGGAAGTGGCCCTCGACCTCCTCTCGTCTGTCGAAGGTGTTCCTTTTTCCGCACCGACACTGCCCTGAGTTGTAAGACAGTCCCTGGACCAGGCGCAGTCCCGGATCTCATCAGTTTCGGATCGACCTTGTCCGCCTGTGCTCGGGCATCGGCCTGGGAGGAGGCTCTTGCCCTGCTGTCTGCTCTGCCGCGGAAGGCCGGGATTGCAAGGACAGAAGCGCGTCATTAAGTTCACATCTTCCTACTACGACAGTACTGCGACGACAGCGATTACGACTATCACTAGTAACTGGTACTTGTACTCGTAAGTTTGCACAACTACTTGTATCAGTAAATTAAGAAGCTTGTTGAGCCGCAGGCGGTCGAGCCCAATCACATCTGCTACAACTCCGCCCTGGCAGCTCTTCAACTCTCTGCTCATTGGAAGCATGCAGCAGCGCTGCTGCGCCGCATGGCTGAGGCCGGGAATCAGCCTACGTGTTACCTTATCGTGCTGGAATTTGTGGAATGCGATTGCGAGAGACCTCTCCACCCGTTGGTTTGCACAAGGCCACCTGTGAATGAGCTTGACCGTCTCACAGGAGTGCAGCCCTGTAACCAAATTGAGGAGAAGTTGGTAGTACAGCGATGAAGGTAGGAACGTGTCCTTGAAGGTGTCGCTGGTCAACGTCGTGGCCTACAACGCAGCTCTCGGCGCCCTGGGAGCTGCGAAGCGCTGGGCGGAGTCTCTGGAGGCATTGCATTGCCGGATCAAGTATAAGATTCATGGACGAGGAATGGTTAAGTTTCCTCGCTATGAATCAGAGTTCTTTCTGGTGCATTTGGAGCTTTTGCCAGTGCAGGCTTTCAGCTGTCTTCTTTACCGGTGAAGCAAGGTGCTCCCCGAGATGGCTTCGCGCCACTTGCTGTGAACAGCCAGTGCACGCTCCGTTCCTAGTCTTGCCTGCAACACCACCTAACCACAGGTAGTCCTTTACGTTGTAGCATGACGGCATGTTTGCGTGTTCCCTGAACAACACTGTATGGTACCGTAGGCATAGTATCACAGTTTGATATGAACAGAGGTATAAACAGGCAGATAAATGAATATAGCCTTAGGTAGTTACAAGTATGATGTATTTTTAGACGTCAGCAAGTTTCAAGCATAGAGAACATAAACAGGTAGAAACAAAATATACATATACGTAAGTAGGCATGAACATACTCCTCTCTCACGATTTCTCGCCCTACATATACATACATATACATGTATTAAGTATATATATATATAGATGAAGTTAGATGTACAGTACGTACATATATAGCCATGTGTATGTTTCCATGCATCGCTCATTTCGCTCATTTGAGGCACTGTGTCCATCGTGCGGGCGCAGCCCATGTGGCACACATTTAATTAAGGCATCATCTGTACATACACATACACACACACACATATGTTGGTGTATCAACTGTAGGGCTTAGAAGATGCAAGGTCGGTTCAGTGCGAACGATGTGAGCATGAGCACCATCCTCAACACGCTCGGTGGAGATGGGAAGTGGCAGGTCATTTGCAGCTTAAGCAACAATAAGTATTCAGGTTGTTGCAGGACATTACATGTTTACGCCTGCTTGCAATGACTGCCGGGCTTCCCTGCCCTGCCTTGTATTCCAGACCAAGCCCCCGACTGGACACAGACCTTTCAGGTTCAAGCCGACATGGAAGTTTCCACATTGCAGAGTGCGGAGCGCATGTGTCGAAGCTCCGGATATGACTTCCACCCGAACTCTTCAACACAGGCTGCCCTGCAGCTGGCCTCTTATCTGTCACAGCTGGAGATGGCAACTCACAGCGACTGGGCTTTCTGAGAACTTCGTTCTGTCCTGAATCACTCTGACGGAAGGTTTAACATGCTTGCCCCCTATGAGAGCTCTTCGCATGTGCCCGGGGCCCAGTGGAGCCCTCAGTCTCAGGTGCCACATCGCTCCGCTCCGCCCTGCGCGGGCACCGCTGGCGCTCGGCTCTCGAGGCCCCGCCCAAGGCCGGCGAAATCAGCAAAACCACAAAGAACCTCAGTCTCTGCGTGTACCCCTCTTTGCAGTGCAGAAAGCTGGCTCGGGAGTGTTGGGCCCCTTACATGTCGTCGTCGTGGGAAGGACGAGGTGGATGCGTCGGTGGCCATCGGCGCTCTTGGGGATGCAGGGCACTGGGCCGAGGCCGGAAGAAGACCATCGCTTGCCCGTCGAATACATGGAGTACGTTAGCGGTCGTCGTGTATTGGCAACCATACTCAGTGCCCAAAAATAGGTAGCCTGCCGGGCCATGGCACGGAGGGCACGACTCTTAATTGGGGCCTCGTGAGTGCAGCGCTGCAGCCAATGCCGAGGCGATGAGGTGCGCAGTCGAGGTGGGAGGGCTGGAAGACCCGAAGACATGACCGCCCACATGACACCATGACTCTATGCACCAAAGCGTTCCGGGTGTGGGAGCCTCTACGAGGTTGTTCAAGAGCCTGGGTGCCGCGATGTGGTCAGGCCCGCTGGGCCCCATCACTCCTTTTGACGAACACTGCTGCGGCTCTTGGCGCCCGGTACTCGGCCTGGCAGCCACTCGGCAGTGGAAATGAAGTCAGGGGAACAAGGCGCGGCACTTTCAGCATGTGAATTGGACCTCGGATTCGAGCGCTTCGCAAGGCCACGTTTTCAGGAAAGTGCTGTCGATAGACAGAGGTATGCTGAGCTTCCGAAGTCGGCATCCCGTCGTGAGGCAAGCCAACCCTATTGCCAAATATCATTTCTAAAGCAAGAACAGGACGTCGAGTTGTTCTAGAGCATTTGCCACATTTTGCCACTAAACTGAGCATGTTTTCTCGTGGCGCTGCCCAGGCAGGGCTTGGCTTTGCAGGTGGCTACTTGGGTGCCTCCGGCAGCAGTCAGGGTGAAGGTCACAGTGCACTCTTGAATGTCTATCTCCGGACACGACCGAAAGGAAGCGTCTTGTGTTGCCCAACGCTTGCAGGCCCAGGCAGTGCAACCAACGTTGACTGTGGACCGAGCTGTGTTGGCGGCAGCGAGTTGGACGACGCCGGGCGGAAGAGAGCTGGGGATTCGCTAGGCGGGAGACCAACAATCGGTTTGCTTCGACTTCAGGGCAAGGTTCGAAGATGTTCGAAGTTCAAACAGATCTTGTTGTGGGACTCAGGACAGCTTGCATTGCTTTGGAAGCTCTGCCAGAGCCCTGCTCCCTGGCTGCCAAGAGACATCCTGTTGTGCGACATGGCGAACCCGGCCTTGAGTTTGCAGCAGCTCGTGCTGTTCATGAGTTCTGGCTTTGACAAGGTGACGGCCCATCCGTGAGTGCAATCATCACCTCCGTGGGATTTCTCAGATGGCAGCTAGGCCTTTCCCTTCTTGGTGCCTTGGCTGCTGAGATGCTAGTTTCCACTCGCACTGCTCTCCCTTTTGGGGCCTTCGGCTTATATCCACAGGCCAAAGAGCATAATTCTTGGAGGTCCTTATAAGCAGACCGACTGAGGTGGGCTGCTTGCCATGCGGCCACCGCCCGATCGTGTGGCATTTGGCGCCGCCTTGGGGGCATGTGCAAAGATCCAGGCGACGCGTTTTTTTTCTCGGCAGCTTTCCGGCGCCTAGCAAGCGGTGTCGACCGCTGGTGCATGTCGTTTCCAAAGCTGGCAGAGAAGATCAAAGCCCAATGTCGCACAATGAGCTGTGACCATGGTAGCCGCACACTGGACGATTATCACGCAGGGTCGGTCGTGCGGCCGTAGCAAGAGAAAGAGAGTCGCTGCAAAACTGGGTATTATGACGGTCGTCAGACATCCCTTATCAGTCCACATTGCGTCCTGTCTGTCAGAGTGATGGCACTGATGGCGCCGTACAGCAGGACCTTCCCTGTCCATCAGGAGTGGATCCAGTGCCTCGCTCTGCTCCAGCGCATGTGCTGCCACAGGCCAATTCGGGGGTGAAAATGAGAGGAGAGCAGTTCTCGATAACAGGGGCGCCTCAATGTGACTTTGTCGACTCGTTCAGGCAGGGCGTGATGGGCTGGATGAATTGACAGTGCTGCATTTTTTGTTCCTATAGTCGCCGAAATGAAGTTATCGTTTGAGAGGCAGTGGACTTTCGTGCATAGAGGGTCTCAGAAAGCGTGGAGCTCTGCATGTTCCTTGCAGGGGCTCGTGCTTTCAGGATTGCCCCCGACGGAGTTGCCTACAATGCCGTGCTGTTGGCAACCTCGCGTGGCGAAGCTTCGGCTTTTAAAAGCGTTGTCCAAGCTGTGGAGAGTGTGGGAGCGGATCCTACTTCCTCAGAAGGCATCCTCGTAGCTCGTAGCTGACCTCAAGCTGAAGCAGGTCTCTACTTGTAGCAGGGCAAGGAGCCATGATCGTCGAGCTAGACCGCTCAAGGCACGTGCATCTCAGAGGTCGCACACAGGCTGTGAAGACTTTGTGTCAGCCCTGTCTCCACGGTCCTTGGAAGCCACATCAACCGGCACTGAGGAGTGCTGGCCAGTCGTGCTGCAGCTGCTGCAGGTTATGGCAGAGGAGACCGTGATTCCTGAGCCTTGGGCCAGACCTTGGGCAGGAGCCTCATGGCTCCGTCAAAGACAACGCAAGCATACCTCGTAATGCAAGACTACATGTGCTGATAGACATGCACCCACGCCGGCATGCATGCATGATTCTACATTGCCTTACACGACATGTCATGCGCACACACGCACAGACACATGCACAGAGCCGCGGTCATCTTCGGCTCAGGATGTGACCTCCCACAGCTGCGCGGCTGAAGCCTTGGAGCGTGCGGGCCGACCCTTTCAGGTGCAGCCTCGCGTCCGAAGCTCTGGGCTAGTTCCTCGTAAAGGGTTTTCTGTCTGGACCGGTTTAGGAAGTCTAGGGTTCCGGATGGTTCCGGGAGGCTTGATGATGAGGGTTTAAGGTTTTGCGATTTCGAGCGAGAAATATGTGGTGCTGGTCTGGGCCAGCTTGGTTCAGGCAATGGCGGTAGATGGCTCTTTCTGTTCGAGGCTGGAAGATGCTGGAAGGGTTTCTAGCTGAGCTCAGGAAGTTGGTTGAAATTCATGAAGTGCACAGAGAAATCTTGCTTGAAGTGGTAGTCTGGTTATCATCACGGCCCAGAGTAAGGCAGTCCGTTGTGGCTATGAGCCAGACCATCAGCGCGCTTGCACCTCGACTGCATTCCTAGCATCGCTGGGGGTTGGACATTTACAAGCTTTGCTGTGGATCGAGACCGCACGGACGAAGTATCCTCCTGCGTCGCATGCAGCAGCAGCAGCAGCTGCTGCTGAGCAAGCGATGACGCATCCAGCGGTCCGCTGCGACTTTATTCGACTTGCGATAGTGCTGGTAACGTCGAGTTTGGGTCACCGGTTGTAGCTATCCCCACGAGTGACAACGCTTTCGCTAGCCGAGGAGCAGCTGTCATGACGAGCCAGAAGTGCGACAGCCTTTCGCTTGAAGCCCACACCGGCTGGCAGGACCTAGCACAGCTTGGGAGCTTCAAATCGGCCGGTTGAGCAGAAGCCTGGGACTGGCCAACAGGGCCTTCATATCCCACCTAAGTGCTGGGATTCGCTGCCCGCCTTCGTCAGCAGCACCGCGCCCGTGCAAGTGATCCACCTGCGAGGTGGACTTGCAATTCAGACACATTTCCATCCCTTTCTGTCGAGCTCGGGTGGAGTTGACAACTGAACAGACGATGGATTAAGAGTTTACAAGGGCGTCCGTTCTGAGTCCGTCGTGAGGCTGCTCAAGGAAATCCGGCATCAGAACCCGGAATCCAAAAGCAACACGATGGAATCCGGCATATTCCGGCAGCTGCAGCGAGCCGTCGGGCGCAAAAGAGTTTCAATAATTTCTCGGCAGCATTTGTCCGGGCCCGCTGTACCACATCCTAAGGTGCTGGGTCGTGGGCTTCTGCGCGTGTGGCGCGGCCCTCATACTGGGGTCTTGCGTGCAAGCACTCAGTTTTGGCAAGAGACGTCACGTAGGCTTCTGGCAATTCGACGTGTTTTGGCTTTCGATGGCCTAGAAATGCGATGGATCGTTTGAGGCTGGTGGACTACCACCCCCTCTGCCAGAGGATCCTGTGGCGCCCCGGGCCCAGGTTTGCTCTAAAATCACGGGAGAGGGCTTGGGCAGACCTCCAAACAGGACTTCTTTGTGCGAGGCCCTTCCTCCATCCGTCTTCACGGCCATTGCTGAAGGCAGGCAGCTGCAAGCATGCGAAGCAGAAATTCGGATTCCCTCCCCATAGATTCTGCACAGAGGCCGGGCATTGTACAACAGTGCCACTAAATCACCATCCCTGTTGCTATTACTAATGCTGTTACTATTGAATTTACTAGTGGTAGTTTGTCATCACCGTAAATAATTGTCACCATGCTTGTTTTCATTGCTTGAGAAAGTAGTGGTGCAATCTAGAGCTGTATAGGTATAGGTCTGACGTATGTGCTTGTGAGTTTGTCTTCGGGCCCCCGGTTTACAGAAAGTCCTATTAAACAACGCGAGCGTTCAGTTTCAATCGTTGCTTCTGCTCCTGTGTCTGCTTAAACTAAAGCCTTGCTGTCCCCCTTCAACATGCTGTGCATGCAGCGAAGCGTTGTTGTTCCAGGAGACTTTCACGACCTCCCCAACGCTTCGTACAGTAACAACGTAGCCATCATTGAACCTCAAGCTCGGCCCTGCACGGACAGGTTCCTTTGGAGTTCAACTCACTGAGTCACTGGCCATGAGCTCAGCAATCTTGCAGCTTAGCCTTCGGCACTTCGGGTCTCTGCGCTACTGATCTACTATCTTCGATGTTTTTTCTGTCGAAGGTGCGATGTCATCGGCAACAACATCCTGGCAGAGTTCTGGCACATGTTCAAGGAGGCACTCAGATCTGTCGGAGCAGCTGTCAGCAGCGCCATTTTCCATGTTGGCCAGATTCACCCACTGCGACACTCAACATCCGCATCGGTCAGCATCAGTAGAATCACTATAGAATGTAGAGAGGCTAGCAAGAACGCACAAGCGGCCTCAATTGCACAGTGCCAGCGCGCGTGCCGCAACGTGTTGTCAAACTCAAAGATTGCTTCCAACCCTTCCCTTTACCTTTCAATTCCGTGGACTGCCGTGAACTCACTCCAATTAAGAATGTGCCCAGGCCCGGTCGAACTTCTCCGGTTTCGGCGGGGCTGCTGGCGACGGCTTGATAGTGGACAATGTGCCGGGCCTCAGAGACTTGTGTTCATGGAGCCAATCGGCATGCGCAGGAAGGCTAGATGCCATACTATGCACACCTTTGGAGCATTTGTCAAAGCTCCGAGCACGTTAACACATGCCGCCCGACCTTGCACAGCCAGAACCCTCCATGGGCCTTCGTCTTCTGATGATGTCTCGGTGTTCGATGCCCAAGCAGCACAAGACTACTTATTGCAATGGAGACTGCCGCCAAGACCCCGCGAGCAGTCCGGCCAGTCAATCGGGAATCAAATTAGGAACAACCTTCCACTCAAGTTTCGAAGCTGCCCAGCTCTGAGGCACCACCTGAGGGCCTCAGCCAATGCTTGATACTGCAGTGCAGCTCAGCTGTTGTGCTGCTGTTGCAATGCATGTTCGGCATGCATGTTCGGCGCTTTGGGGTTCGGTCTGTGCAGACAGCAGATGTAGTCTCATCTATAAGCATCTACCTGAATCGACTTGGCTGGCGCTGAAAGTATTGTGCTCAAGGCTTGATCGGCAGCCTCGTATTGTCACCTCGCAGAAAGCCAAGCTCCCAGTGCTCATCGTCTAAAGGATGCATGTTTTCTCTGGGGCCTGGTATCGTCAATTGAAGATTTGGTTTTCAGCTTTCAGCAAAGGTGGCAGAGCCCTCGACCTAATCCAGCAGTTCATGCAGAAATGCATGCATATGACTGCCTTTGCAGAGCAATCTAAACTTAAGTCGCAGCAACAATAGTACTTACTAAGCAGAATTGGGTGAAGAGAAATAGCAAACAAGCCTTAGTGTAGCAATACTTGCAACGGTACTCATGCAGCAAGAGCAATGACAGCAGTGATGCTAGTAGTAGTCAAAGTGATAACAAGACCTGCATTGCCGACCGACAGCGAAAGATAGGTCGGTAAGCAGATAGGTTCCACGCATACGTTTAAATAGCCTATGTGCAATTAGACTCTTCATCATGAAGTATAAGGATAGAAGAACCAAACATCTAGATGCTATTATGTATGTCATTGTAATTGAAAAGTCAATGTAAACAGCCACGACGATACTCGCGTCCATTGCTTACGCCAGCATGTGGAGTCGCATCCGGCCTGCGCTGTTTGTAACTTCATTAGGTGGACAACACATGACAACACGCTGCAACCATCCTCATTCAATTCAAATTCCGGCTATCACAACGTGAATGTTTTCACTCAGAGTGAAATTTAAAAATGTCAAAGCATCTTGGCTTTGGGTGATGTCGCTTCTAAGTCGCACTGCGATTTCCATTGGCAGTTCAGCCCAGGTTTTAGCACCCGGGAAGTTTGCCTTGAAGCTGCGTGGAGGAAGTGTGCGATCTGGCCAGGCGCCAGAACGGGATATTCCACGCGTAAGCATCCCACATACAGTTACACACCCTAGGGTTCAATGTGCAGGCTAGGAGGCCTCGCCACACCCTTGACTACCAAGCATGATTTGCCAAGTTGCCCTGGTCCAGGTAAGAAGTCCTCGCGGCTCGCTTTTTCGTGGCAGCGCAGCCCGTGCATGGCGTAGCGCATCTAGGTCGTATCGGGGCGATTGTTGTCCAACTGGAATGATTTATCAGGATTGTTGCAATCCTGAAACTCTGAAGCGAGAGTTTCGGGCGCTTTCCAAGCATGCTGCCAGGCTTGGGCTATATTGGCAGTTTTCTCGCTGAGTACTCGGCAGCCCTCGAGGTGTCTTCCGCCGCAGAAGCTTTGTTTGTTTTGCCTTTTTCGTGGTGTTGGGGACGGTGTCTGTGAAGTCCGTCATGTCTGGAAGCATGTGCGTGGGTGTGTAGCTCCGTGGCGAGCGGCCCTCAGTCGAAGGTAGGTCCTAGGGGTGATAGGCTCGGGGAAAGGGGCGCAGCCCACCGTGAAGACCGCAATTCCTTAGTGGTAACAGGCGGGTTTGCACGCGCTGGCCCTCAGCTCTGAAGCAGTAGAGAGAAGAGGAATAGACGCCAGCACAGATCACCAGTCGTGCGTGGCTGAGATCCCTTGTGAAATTTCCTCGTGATCCTGTTGTGTCTTTCATCCAAAGTATCCCCTGGCAGCTCCGGCACTGCAAGCCGTCGGACATGACGAATCCCATGAGGGCCATCCTCGAGCCGAAGGCCGGAGCCTGATGGAGCACTCAAGTCTGGCTTATGTAGGGCTTGAGGGCGTCGTGATGGAATCGGCAGATCAGGAGGCTCTCCAAAATCTGTGCACCACAACTATAAGTCTTAAGTAACCACACGCATCATCACGGTCGAGGGAAAATCCGGCAGCTGCACGGAACTTGCCGGGCCTAACAGGGGGGCAGGGATTTCTCAGCGTGGCAACATCCCACAGTCTCCGAGGTCTTAATGCCTTAGCGACCTGCTTTCGTCACCAGGTGGATCTTCCAGGTGATTTTGCCAAGAGGCAGGTAAATGCGGCCTTGGTGCCTGTCAACCCGCCATGTTTCTTCAAGATCTCTAAGCAGGATCTATGCCACTTAGTTGACAGTTGACAGCCTCGGAGCCTTGCCAAAGTCCCTGTGGCAAGTTGATGAGCGAATTCATTTGCGCCGCCATGCTCGCTGCGCCGCTGCCATCTCGGTCCAAGCGGGATGAGAGCTGCAGAACCTTTCGACTCCGACGCTCAGATGTGAGAATAAGCTGTTTTGAGGCTGAGGCTCGATTTCGCAAGAAGGTCCTCGGCATCGCAGCACCGTCTCATTTCGAGACGGTTGGGCTGCAGGGTTTACATGTCGTAGGTGGGGGAAGAGATGCGCAAAAACAAGAAATTGTTGCGGAGGCAGCGAAGACATTTGGATACATTTGGCAGTACTTGATACTTGTCGGATCAATGACATGAAGGACTGACTTGCAGCTCGAAAAGCTTAAGAGCCCCGCTGACGTAGCTATGCTCAAGTTGACTCAAAACCGAGTGCGACTGTTCTCCCGGTCAATAAATTGAGGCTGACATCGAAATTATTCGAGATGCCTCTGAAACACCAAGGACGTCTGAGCAGCCGGCTTCGTCAAAGACGCTTGGGCTGCTTTACATGCAAGCTCCAAGAAAGGTTTCGTCTCTGTTACGTCGGCTGCATATTTTGCAATAGGATCCTCGGGTCATGCCGCCAGCCAGTCTTACCATTAAGGGCACTGAGACAATTACGGGCTCACTTTCTCCAACTCATCGACTCGACCCCTCCGCTTCTCACGCCCTACAAGACTTGAGTCATAGACGTTTTAACGGACGCCCTCATGCCCTTCAGCCATCCAAACCTGAGACCACCCGTCCAAATCCCGCATCATGGCCGCCAGATGGGCATGAAATATGTCGCAGCGTATCTCATGGCAGCAACGGCCTCAGCAGCTGCATGGACCCATATTTCATATTTCTACATCGTAAGCCGGGAGACATAGGTCAAGAAGCCCCCCAGCCTCCCCCAAGCTCCGTAAAGCCCTGGCAGCCGCCTTTGGAGTTGCTTTGTGGCTAAACTCCTTGCGTTCGCCGCCGATAACGATAACGTAATCAGGCAGATCTGGTACGTGCTTTGCACCCGCTGGATACATCAGTCCTGGGCTATCGTATTGGGCAGAAGAATTCTCGCGGAGCCGGTAAGTGCTAGTGACTGCTAGCGCAGTCGCAAGGAGGGGTTCCGTTGATATTAGCTGAGGCTTTGAACCATCATTACTGCCTCCGCTTCTGCTATCATTTCCGCATTTCTTCTTCCGTTGTTAGTCAGCGCTCTCCAGAACCCGAGGCCCTCGCGGGCAAGGACAGCCCTTCCGCCGACGACATTAAGAAAATCCTCGAGTCCGTGGAGTCCGAGTACGTCCCACCCACAGAGTTTTGTCGCACATGCAGCAAGGAGTCCTGGGGGCCTCCATGGATGCCCTGCGCATCGATTCTGAAACACTGAATAGCTCTGGCGTTGGCACACTTCTGTAACTAACGAAAGCAAACTCTTCCGAAGCTTGATTCGTTTGCTGCACGTCGCCACGTCCTGATCAAGTCCAGACCTTTAGGACTGGCGGCAGCTTGTCCGGCATGATCCGGCATGAAGCCTTGGAACACACAAGCTAGTTTGTGGCAGAATGATAAAATCGAACCTTCTAGCCTCACAGCCTCCTCACGAGCTGAACCTAATGCATACGCCTGAAGCTCTGGCTTCAAGCCTGCGCTCCACTCACTCAGCTTTCCAGCCTGAAGCCCTCACTAAGCCACCTCTACCTTCCTGCGGATCTTGCGGATGTCTGCCGTCAGTTCGGCAGCAGTCACAGCGCTGGTAACATGGCAGCCCCGAGCCGGAGGCCGGAAAGGATCGGTTCTGGCATGCTTCGGTGGCTACGGATTGCTCTCGTTGTCATTTGGCATCGCTCCAAACTGAAGATGCAATCACTGCGGATCCTCAGGGCGCTCTCCGGTGGAGGACGCTTTGGACTGCGACGAAGCAGACGCCACGGCAGGTCACCTGAGTGCACTGCCTTTTCGAGCCCCAGTACCTGCCGTTGCACACTGTCGGCACAAGTACAGTAGGCAATACTGTGTAAACAGCGGATTGACGAACTGACATCAGTCACCCTGCACTTAATTATGCGACCTGATTGCAAATCTTTGATGTCGAATCCGCGTCTCAACTAGCCCCAAGCCAAGTCTTGATTCTGTGCTTCGCGCAAACTCACATATGCTTTAGGAGGCATATCATGTTCAGACAAGCCCGGAGATGATTGCAGAGCACGTGAGAAGGAGCCATTATGTCTGGTCGGCCACCCTCGACCTCCAGCTGGCAAGTCATCAGGCGATGCAGTCGCACCAAGTCGACTGAGGTTTGAAAACGCGGTGTTGCTTGTGGCAGCCTGGCCCATGTGTTTTGTCCAAAAGCTCTCAGACATGAGAGAGCCAGCGACGCTGCTTCTATGCAAACCTCGTGCACATGAGAGCCTCCGCAGTTCTTAATAAGAGATGTCTTCGTGAAAGCGAGACCTGATTGTGCTACAGACATTCGGCATCCCAAAACGAGCACCTTCGAATCCGTACATGTGCACAGGCTCCCCAGAGCCATCAGCTTCGCCCAGCGAACCCCGCCGCCGCCGCCGCAGCCGCCGCCGCCGCCGCCGCCGCCGCGACACCCCTTGGTGCGCCGGGTTACGTCTGCTTCCTCCATCTTCAGTAATTGAGACTGACTATTCTGAGAGTGTGACACCGTCAGAATTGACATTTGGAATCATTTAAGAAAAGACGATTTGCGCTTGACATAGCTGTGCTTTTTTGGCAGTAGGATTTCCAACAACACCGTCGTGCCCAGTGCATGCAAATTCAAACAGCATCTCAGGTTAGCCAAGTGCTGGAGGTAGTTAGAACCCTGGCGCTAGCGTCAGTCGGTCGGTTCACAGGCTTGTCCAAGCCGTAGCACATCGGTCGGTCGATGCGTTCATATCATTCACCTGGAAGTCGAGACTTATGCCTTTCTTGGAACTGCTACCTTCATAAGTACTCAACATCGCCAAAAGCAGATGCTCAGCTTCACTGTCCGTCAGGATAAGAACTTGATCGGCCAGCCGTTAGATGCCTGGCTGGCATCTCATTGAACCAGTAGCTGCTATGGCTGTACATTTGAACACAACGTTGACAACGCTGACGCATTACTACATTTCTGCATAGTTGCACCGCCTTCTTACAGTAACAAGGGGGTGCATACAAGCATTGGGCTCTTTGACTCCTTGAGTTCGGTGCAGCATTTCGATATAATCTGGGTCCTTCAAGCACTCGGGTTGCCCACCGCGAAAGATCGGCAACTGTAGATGCAAGAGTCAAAGAGCGCCTTGTCCGAGCTGTTCTCCAATGTGCATCTTTATTTTTTTGTGGATGGCGTAAGCGCGTGCACTCCCCGTTTTGCGCCCAACAAGGAGCTTTGCCGAAGTGCCTCACTCGCAGACAGGAAGTGTGCTGTCCTATCTTGTCATGGGTGCATCATTGGTCTGAAGGTTGAATCTTCTCGAGGTCGTAGGTTGTAGAAACCACTCACATAGCGCAGCCCTGGCTTAACCTTGCCATGTCTTTTAATTTCGGCGATGTGTTCGTCCTGATCGGACTAAAGAGCGTTTGCCGACGCTCTTTATGCCCCATTCGGCTACTGTTGTTTCAGTGACGCAGTAAGAAGGTATACCTGCTGTGCCTCTGCGCGTTAGAGAAGGTGGGCAAGTCTCTAAACTGTCAAACAAATATCAAGCCAAATGCAACACCTCATTGCCGCAGCTTCGATAACCTATACCCTCTACAAAGGCTGCAAGAAGCAATCAGTTGTACTACCTGTGCACGTACAATGCAACACGAAGCAACAGATTGTACTGATACTGCCGACATCACTCGATACAGAAATCACAGGCAAGCTGGACGCGGCAATGGGATGGGATGGTAGTGGCTTCTGCGGCTACAGCCCGCGCGACGTGCATCAGCAGGCACGACCGTGTTGTCTTTCACAGCCGATAGGGTGGCTACCTTGCCGATATCATGCCAATAAGGTTGGCAAACCAAAGTGGCTTTGCGTAGTGCCAATTGCATCCTGCGTGGCATCGTCGAGCTGGCACTCACTTCCAGTCGCCTCCAGCAGAGAGTTTCCTTTTTTGCTGGCTATCAACGCCCTCCTGTTCTGATCACAGTTGGGTCTTTCGGAGCCATGCCGTTCTGCATTTTCGTAACACGGTTAAGTTACAGCAAGGCCACACAGACTGCGCACGTAGAATGGGTGTTGGTGCTGGCTTAAGATGGCGTCGCGCAGGGTTTCGGCTCAGACGGGAGGGGAGGAACCCACGACAGTTGTCCCAAAGGGGTGCTGGAGTCATGATGGCTTTCGAGGCTTTGGCAAATATTCCCAGGCCTTCTAAGCCGGAGTTGTTTGGCATGGACATGCTGCACAATGTGTCTTCCATGCAGCCAGATGATCTATTCTGCGAGGGGCCGTGCGATCAGGAGCTTGACCTTGGTGCAGACGATGAGCTATTCACAACCTGTGACTGCAAACCTTCGCATCTTTCAAAGTGCTCCACCATGTGCACTTCGAGCCCAACTATTGACCTGGAAGAGATCGGTACGCAGTCGTTCAACTCCTTCCTGTCGCACGGCACAGTCTCCGCTGAGAACTTCCATGAGCACATGCTTCCGCCAAACAGACTGCTACACGAGCAGCACAAAGTCCGCATGAGCACCTTTCTGACGGCTGCTGGGCCGTTAAGTGCATGATTTAAGCTGGAGTTATGAGGTGGCACGGATCGCAGGCGATACTACGTGTAGAAGTTCTAATGTTGGACCCAGTAAGCGCAGCATCCGTCCATGACCCCTGCGGAAGACCTGCTGTTGAAGTCTGGCAAGGCCTAATTCTGCAGGCTTTATGTCAGAGTTCAGTTCTAGTCAGTCCACAGAGCCAGTTCCCAGGCAGTAACGCGGTCATCCAAGACG